AAAACATTCATCTTTTCACAGTTTCATCTGTTTTTGAAGTTGTATATTTGCAGGTATTTTCAGAAGAGGAAGAAGAGAAGTTGAGTGCTTCTCTTGGCCTGCCAGTTGAAAAGACAAGACAGTTGATATACACCAACATACATATCATACAACAGGTACTAATACTCTTTATCTTCTTCAGTGGTCAACAGGTGTCAACCCAAAATTTTTGTTCATATATATGTGTGTGTGTGTGTGTGTGTGTGTGTGTGTGTGTGTGTGTGTGTGTGTGTGTGTGTGTGTGTGTGTGTGTGTGTGTGTGTGTGTGTGTGTGCGTGCGTGCGTGCGTGTGTGTGTGTTTGTGTGCGTGCGTGCGTGCGTGCGTGTTTGTGTGTGCATGCGTGCACTTATTTTTGCGTATGTGTATTTTTGCATGTCTACATGTTTAATGAAAATTGATATGGCAGTAATGGTCCATTTATGAATTTCACAGGTTATGTAATATGTCCAGATTTATATTTTCAGAGTTTTTATATCCAACAGGCAGCGCATGGGATGGTAAGACCAGCTTTCCTTGGAGAACAGCTTCAAGCGTGTGAACTAACACCAGATAGAGCCAATGTGTTTGTGGAACAGTGGACAATACATGCAAAACAAATTGTGGAAACACTGCGACAGCAAAGTTTATCGGAGAAACAGGTGAGTGTTTTCGTCAATTATTTCTGTATTAGGGATGGGAGGGAGGATGAAATGAGGAGAGGAAAAGGAATTGGGAAATGAAGTGAGAAGAGGGAAAGGGAAATCAAGGATGGGAAGACAGGGACAGAAAGAGGGAGGAGGAGAGTGAAATGGAAGGGGAGAGAGGGAAATGAGATGGAGGGGGAGTCGGAAAGGAAATTAAAAGGAGAGGGAGGGGAAATAGATTGGAAATGAAGGGAGAGGGAGAGGGAAATGAAGGGATGAGGGAGGGGGAGAGGGACAGGGGAATTAAGGGAGGAGGGGAGAGGGAGAGGAAGAGGGAAACAGCAGGAGAGGGAAATGAAAAGAGAATGAAAAAAACGGGATATGAAAGGAGAGGAAAAAGAGAGGTATATGAAAAGAGAGGAGGAGGATATGAACAGAGAGGAGGGAGGGAAATATAAAGGGTGAGGGATATAAAAAGAAAGGGATATAGGTAAAGATGGAGGAGGATATGAATGGAGAAGGAGAGATGGGAGATGTAGAATAGAAGGGATATAGGAAGGAGAGGGGAGGATATGAAATAGTAAGAAAGGGAAAATGGGGGGTGAGAAGAATTGAGAGGGAAGAGAGGTTATGAGTGAGAGGAAAATAATTTAATGTTGGAAAAAGTTCACTACTGAAAGTAGGGTAGGAAGTATCTTTAATTGGAATACCTATGGCTGAACAACTAAATGCCTGTATTCCTCTTTGTATAATGAGTAACTTATTTTTGTATTAATTAAAGAAAGCAGTATTCGCATACAGGTATCATCAAAACTCTAGTGTAGAAAAAGGGAAAATCTTTGGTTGAAATAGAATGTCACTGATAACTTCTCAATATCAACAGCTAGCAGATATTTCATGGGAACTTCACCTGAAGACTGCTTCATCAGGATGTGCAAGACAAACTCACCCCATTGCACATTTACAACTGAACCTCAGGTAATTTCCCACAGTTAACTTATATCTCTATATTAGCAAATACATTGTTCTTTAAGCTCTTCCACACGGCAAGTTATGACTGGAATCCAATGGGTGGTGGGAATTAGTGTTGAAGTTATAGTCAAGAAAACTGCAAGCTTAGATTTAGTAACAAACAATGGTACCAGATAAAATAGTGAATTCCAGGCATATAAATGTGGCTGCTAGAGGCTTGGGGCATTTTGCCTTAACAAAGGGAGTGGTCATTTTGATAGTGTGCTTTTGAGTATGTGAGTTTCTCTACTTATGATGTCATATCTGCTTGTACCAATGTTGGATTGTGATTTGCCTGTAGTGTGGACAGGGCCTTACAGATCCGTGTAAGTCTGCATGTTATTCTTATTATAAGCTTTTCAGGACTTTCAATTAGACATATTAATAATAAACAGAAAGCTGTTGGAAAGAGGGAAAGGCTACTTTTGTTTGAACTGGTGATGAAATATGAAGAGGGAATATAACAAAGCAAGATTTTAAGCAAAATCGGAGCCTTAGTATCCTTAATGATATGTATCTAACTATTTATTGATAAAGTTTACTTATATTTTACTGCATTTTGTTTTCTCACAGCAGCAGCATGGAGCCTTCAAACACCAAAGTGGGAAGTACAGAGTCTGTGGTCATGCAGTTTAATCAAGACCAACTCTACCAGTTGTATGATCAAATTGAGCAAATTCAGGCAAATTTAGATGCTCTGAGGTAGTGACAACTACTTCATGAGCAACAATACAGATTTATAAGATTAATTGTATGGTATTGATTATTAGAGGAATACTTTAAGAATTTCTTACCACAGTCATTTTCAGAAAGATTATAAGATGCTGAATTAATTTTGCACTTCAAATGCTTCGAGATTTGTATTGCATTGATAATGATACTGTCAATAAAGTTTGGTGATTGTAGGAAAATGCCTGCATCAGTTGTGATTCAATGTTTCATACATGTTTTTTTTTTTTTTACAAAGTGTAGAAATATTTTATTGTGGATCTTGATTGAATGCAGTTAAAATGGAGAGTAAAGAGATTTTACAGTAGATGTTTTAAAAAACTGCTTCATGTAAAATCAATAAAATCAATACATTTGCCTCTGATCATCTCTTTTTGTGTAGACAATACTTAAGGCTCCATCCAAAGAGGGGGTGAATTGCACATTGATTATCTTTAACTGTCCCCCTTGCCATACCTAACTACTGCCTGAAGAAAGATGGATTCAAGGTATACTTACAATGCTAACATGGAGCAGAGGTCAAAATTGTTATATTTAACACAGACTGTATCATTATGGTGAGGCAAAAGGAAAGTGCTAATAAATCTGTGTCCCCGATGTATTATTTGCTGGTCCCTAAAGACAGTTTACACAATCAATTTATGTTAGCTTGGCTTTATTTAATAAATTTAAGAATTACAGAAAATTATATTTTGGACAAGATAAAAGACCTGTAATGACTGAAGTGCATAGTTTCCAATCCAAAAGCAAAAATATTAATGAAGAATTGGATAATACACAAAAAATGTACAATCAGTAAGAAGCAGTAAGAAGGCAATTTTCAGGGATATTTTTCCCTGTTGCTGCAATATGTTGATTCTCCTTTGCTTTGTACATGAGTACCACATGGTAAAAAACAATCTAATTTATGAGCACCAGTCACTGTTCAGAAGAAGAACTTTGGATTACCTTTGGTTCATGCCAAATTCATGAAAAATAAAAAATAGAAGCTGCCAATTTGTTTTTCAAGTCTAATATTAAGAATGTACATTAGATTTTACATTATTACAAGTTTCTCAAATACAAACAAGCTTTGGCTTATTTTATGTTTGTTAAACACAACAGACAGCTTCTCTCATCTGAGGGAAATACAATACTTTTCTTATTATACTTTTGAAAACAATTGATACTATTAGAGCATTTCAAAAGCCAACAAAGCAGTTTGACAGATCAAGCTGATAAGGACAGAATTTTGCAGTTCGTACCACTGGTGGCAATTAGTAGTGTTTTTTAAAAGTAAGAAAAGGATACTCTCTTCTTCATATGAGTAACTGTAGCCACTGTTCAGCATGAACACCTAAAAAGTATTGCATCATAATGGTATGTGCATACTGAGGATGCAGTACATTTTTCTTTAACCCATTGCCGACAGGCATGCCATGCCATGCCCACTGTGAGACTACTTGTTGGATTGTTTTCACACATAGATGGCTACACTTGTACTAAATCACCAATGAGCCCGTTACAAGTACTGCCTGTCTCACCGGTTCACCCTTTTCTTTGATTTACGAAATATTTTACGTTTCTTATTTTGCTGTTACTAATGTTAAAAAACATTATAAAAACTATAATGTTTATGATAAAAATAAAACCATCGATATTCATGGCACTAGTGAAAAATACGTTTTTCCCGCCATTTCAAATCAGGCGCTGACAGAGCCATCTATGGGCAGACATTTAACAAAAGAATATAGAAAATAGGCACAGCATTTTCCCCATTTTTTGTTCATTTTCCCCGCCGGCAATGGGTTAGGCTGGTACATTGAAAAACAATGATTCACTATTATTGCTATTGTATAAGAAAATCAGAACTTGGGAAAGACTTACTGTAAGCCATTAGCCAACTTTATGCATGGTCTTTTCCTACCAGAATGGTTCAGGGTTTGCTTCACTCCTATTGTGAACAACTGCAGTCTTGTGTAGCAGGACTGCAATTAAAAACTAAGTACCAGCAAACTCAAAACAAATTGGACAGATCCTGTTATGATTCAAGAGGTAGCATCAGAAATCCTGTGATATTGATGGATGGATAGAAGTAGCATTATTGAGGAATACATCAATAAAATGCCTTACTATTCCTTCTATCTTAATGGTTTGTGTATTTTGGAGAACTGATCCGTGGTAACTGACAAATAGGCTAATCATAAATACTGTACCTCAACAGTTCTTTTAAGTTGTGGTCATTTTGATCTGTCAAGGATTTGTAGATTTGGATCAACTTATATAACTGTAGACCCAAGCCATGATTTATTCAAACTGGATAAAAACATCTAACTGTTCAGCTGACATGTAACTGCTCCTACAGATTTTGAAGTTTATGAGAAGTTGTTTACTTCATTGCATGACTAATGATCCTGTGTCACTACCTAATGTTTTCAAGTTTCTTTTGGCTATAGACTTAATTTGACTGCAACTAGATTAGTTAGGAATTATCACCCATTCGGCTTGGCTGTGGCATGTCATTTGAAGAAATAGACAGATAGAGCATTATTTGCCCACTTCAAAATGTCATGGTAATGAAGTATGCTTTACAATGATTTTGCTAATTTGATAAATATTTCATTAAATTGTATAATACATCATCAGGTGTAAACCAAACTCCCCTCACCTCCTGGGGGAGTTTAACTTTAAAAGTAACCAAAACATTAGAAATTGAACCTGGGGTACAGATGCCTTCTCATGAAAGCTCTTAACCTGGGATTGGCATATTGTCCATTTTTCTGTAATATGTAGTACAGCTGACAATACAACTACTTTAGACATCAGAAATTAATTTTACTATAGCTGCTCTTGGAGTTTAGCCCATTCAGCAAAGCTGCTTAAAAGAGTGAAAGAAATATGGAAAACAAAAGAAAATAAACTGAAAAAGAAAACAAAAAAAAAAAAAATAAAAGGAAGAAAATAGAAAAAAGGAAGAAGAAAAGGAAAGATAGTTTAAAAAATAGAACAAAATAGGCAAAACAGAAAGGAAATATTTCATATATTAATCCACTTGTATGAGCACTGTTCAATGTCCATGTCTCACACCCATAGAGTAAGACCGGGATTACAAGTGCTCTGAAGAGCCAGATCATAGTCCTCCTAGTCAAATACCGACACCACCAAATACTCCTATTGAGTGAGTCCATAACTTTCCGGTCGGAACCTCCGTCGCTCTGTATTATACTACCAAGATAAGTGAAGGTATCCAAGACCTCAATGTTCTCGCCACAGGCATGTGCAGACTGAACATCGTCATCAAACAAGTCCCCATTTTCCTGAACCTTGGGTCTTGATCCAGTTGACAGAGTCCCAACAGCTTTGCCTCCTCATGCAGTACCCCAAGAGCTACTTCCAGGACTTCCAAGGATTCTGTTAGAATCACTGCATCATCGGCAAAGTCAAGGTCTGTGACCTTGAAATTACCAATTGATGCCCCACAGGAATTACAGTCCACGGCACAGCCAAATATCCAGTCCATATAAAAATTGATTGGGGCCAGGACACATCCCTGTCTCACCTCGGCAGACACCGGGAAAAAGGCAGAGATGCCCTCCCCACACTTGACAGCACTCTCGGTATCTGTATACAGGCCAGACAGCAAACCAGTAATCCCAGGGGGGATCCCGTAATCCCAGGGGGGATCCCACGGAGACCCAGTAGGCTCCAGAGACTCCCCCGGTGCACTGAATGTTTTTGAGATCAACGTAAGCTGCAAGCATACCTTACTGAAACTCATGTTGATGTTCCACAAGGACATGAAGTGCTAAGACACGGTCTACAGTTGACTTCTTGGGTGTAAAACCAGATTGCTCAGGTCTGTTCTCGTAAAAGGTGGTCTCACACTTGCACCAAAAGCATATGAGCAAGGACCTTGACTGGTACACTGAGCAATGTAATACGTGTGTAGTTGCCACGGTCCCTTTGGTCCCCTTACCCTTTCCAGATAGGGATGACCAAGCCCCTTTTCCAGTGAGGAGGAATGGTACCATCTCCCAAACGGCAGACAGGACTGCATGCAAGCCACAGATCATGGCTTCTCCATCCGCCTTCAACAATTCTGCAGCAATCCCACAGACACCAGCAGCCTTTCCACTCTTCAGCCTAGAGACCTTCTCACCTCTTCGATGGAAAGTGGTGCCTCACTGATTGGTAGATCAGCCACTAGTGGCTGTGTGCCAGCCAACGGGAGTTGTGAGGACGGGGGATCTACCCTGTACAATTTCTCAATGTACTCAGCCCAGCGGGCCCTATACTCACCCGGCTCCGACATAATGCGACCATCCTCTGCCCTCACCAGCCTAGTTGAGAGATGATCTTCGACCTGAGTTCCCTCAGGGCTCGGAAAGCAGGTCGAAGGTCATCTTGGACAAAATCTTCCAACTCTTCCACGATACCCCTAACGTACCTTTCTTGGTCCATTCTCAAAGAGGCCCTATCAGAGCGAGATAGCTCCCTGTGCAAGACATGGTTCACAACCAGTCTGGCAGCACAACTCCTCTCTATAGTGTTCAGCGTCTCGTCCGAGACAACACGCCTCCCTCGCCGAGGTCGGACCCCAAGGCACTCCTCAGCAGCTGACAGGGTTTCCTGTGTGTGTGTGTGTGTGTGTGTGTGTGTGTGTGTGTGTGTGTGTGTGTGTGTGTGTGTGTGTGTGTGTGTGTGTGTGTGTGTGTGTGTGTGTGTGTGTGTGTGTGTGTGTGTGTGTGTGTGTGTGTGTGTGTGTGTGTGTGTGTGTGTGTGTGTGTGTGTGTGTGTGTGTGTGTGTGTGTGTGTGTGTGTGTGTGTGTGTGTGTGTGTGTGTGTGTGTGTGTGTGTGTGTGTGTGTGTGTGTGTGTGTGTGTGTGTGTGTGTGTGTGTGTGTGTGTGTGTGTGTGTGTGTGTGTGTGTGTGTGTGTGTGTGTGTGTGTGTGTGTGTGTGTGTGTGTGTGTGTGTGTGTGTGTGTGTGTGTGTGTGTGTGTGTGTGTGTGTGTGTGTGTGTGTGTGTGTGTGTGTGTGTGTGTGTGTGTGTGTGTGTGTGTGTGTGTGTGTGTGTGTGTGTGTGTGTGTGTGTGTGTGTGTGTGTGTGTGTGTGTGTGTGTGTGTGTGTGTGTGTGTGTGTGTGTGTGTGTGTGTGTGTGTGTGTGTGTGTGTGTGTGTGTGTGTGTGTGTGTGTGTGTGTGTGTGTGTGTGTGTGTGTGTGTGTGTGTGTGTGTGTGTGTGTGTGTGTGTGTGTGTGTGTGTGTGTGTGTGTGTGTGTGTGTGTGTGTGTGTGTGTGTGTGTGTGTGTGTGTGTGTGTGTGTGTGTGTGTGTGTGTGTGTGTGTGTGTGTGTGTGTGTGTGTGTGTGTGTGTGTGTGTGTGTGTGTGTGTGTGTGTGTGTGTGTGTGTGTGTGTGTGTGTGTGTGTGTGTGTGTGTGTGTGTGTGTGTGTGTGTGTGTGTGTGTGTGTGTGTGTGTGTGTGTGTGTGTGTGTGTGTGTGTGTGTGTGTGTGTGTGTGTGTGTGTGTGTGTGTGTGTGTGTGTGTGTGTGTGTGTGTGTGTGTGTGTGTGTGTGTGTGTGTGTGTGTGTGTGTGTGTGTGTGTGTGTGTGTGTGTGTGTGTGTGTGTGTGTGTGTGTGTGTGTGTGTGTGTGTGTGTGTGTGTGTGTGTGTGTGTGTGTGTGTGTGTGTGTGTGTGTGTGTGTGTGTGTGTGTGTGTGTGTGTGTGTGTGTGTGTGTGTGTGTGTGTGTGTGTGTGTGTGTGTGTGTGTGTGTGTGTGTGTGTGTGTGTGTGTGTGTGTGTGTGTGTGTGTGTGTGTGTGTGTGTGTGTGTGTGTGTGTGTGTGTGTGTGTGCGTGTATATGTGTGTGTGTGTGTGTGTGTGTGTGTGTGTGTGTGTGTGTGTGTGTGTGTGTGTGTGTGTGTGTGTGTGTGTGTGTGTGTGTGTGTGTGTGTGTGTGTGTGTGTGTGTGTGTGTGTGTGTGTGTGTGTGTGTGTGTGTGTGTGTGTGTGTGTGTGTGTGTGTGTGTTGTGTGCGTGTATATGTGTGTGTGTGTGTGTGTGTGCTATAATTTGCATTGTCATTCCAAATATAACTGTTTAATCAGTCATGAGGTGTGATAAACGAAGGTAACAAAAGAAACCAGTTTTGAGAACACTGCTGGATGGTATTGATGGTAAAGGCTTGGAAATTCAATACAGTGTTACATTCTTTGAAGAAGCATGGGTAAAGAAAACCCAGAATTATTATTTCTAAAAAAAATAATCTCCTCTTTCTATTTTTGCAAGAATGCACTAAGTTCAGTAATCTTGAAAATTCGCAAATTTACAGCTTTCGGGTTATATGTCATTTGTACAGTTTAAGAAAAAAGAAAGGTGCCTTCTTAGTGCTCTTCTCTATGATCTAAGGATTAATCAAGTATATTCTCTTGTATGATTGAACCGAATTCGAGAGCGTACAAAATCAAATGCGATATTAGACGGAATACCAAAGCGCACTATAAATGTGCTTTATTTTTTTTTCTCGTCTTTCTAGGGAAATCTATAAAAAATATATTTTTTCTTATGTGGTATCCACACGGCTATCTAATTTTGGCGTCGCATATATAAGTATGTGAATCTGCCTCTGGAAAATGTTGAATTCGCACTGAAACAGAAGAGGAGCCACGGATTCCATACTACGCGCTGCAATGCGAACAGAGGGGAGAGGAAAACGGAGGAGAGGAGAGATGCATAGGCCCCTTACTGCGGTTCAAAAGAGAGGGTCTCTTTAACGAGAGTGGGATTGATTGATGGTTGTGGTTACGTTGAAAAGCAACCAGTGGAATGATGAGCTTTGTGGAGAGAGGAAGATGCCAGTGCCTGTTAGTTTGGCATAGACCTGCACTGTTCTGACGAAGCGGTTGGAGACGCCACGAAGGATTCGCTTCGCAGCAAATGTGTTGTGAAGACATTAATAATAGTGGAAAACGTTATTCACGTGTGGTGATGGTGATCCACGAAGAGAGTATTGCAATGTATATGATGTAACAAATAATTGTGTCAAAATTCTGTTGATGGTGTAAGTGATGCAGATATAATTGTAATAGACTGCACTGTATGATGACATTAATTTTGTTAACAAAGTGCTTACAAGTGTACATTCATTCCGAGAGAACTGTATTATTTTGTAGACAGAAGTACCCTTATTTGCGTTTTCTGTGATATTTAAGGGGAGAATATCCTAAAGTAGAGTTGGTCAGATGTGAGTGAATGCAAGAGGAATTATTCTTTTGTTCTGTATTATTTAATGTGCAGACCTGCATCAGCACAGGTAGGCTTTGTGTTAGCTGTATGTCCTGGAGGAATGCGCTACAAGAGGCACGGGCAAAAGGTCAAGATTTTGATTTATTTACTTTATACCATCGGGAAATAAAAAAAGAAACCAGTTATAGTTTCTCCATTTTTTCTATCCATAAGCAAGTGTTGCAATATGTTAATAAGTCAGTATATATACGATCTGTTAACGGGTTGACAAATATTTGAAATTTAGCATACATAAATTCAGAGCATGCAATAAGAGACCAATGAATACCAGATAAACAAAAAAAAAATAATAATTAACAGGAAGAAGCAGTCTGCCATTTGACAATTTGTGATGTTACGAACAGTGCAACAGCAATTCGGGTCAGACTAAACTCGTCAGCAAACGATAAATTCGTCTTTCGTTTAAAGTTTTTGTTGATCTTAGTCGGATGTGAAACGTAATGAATTATTTCTTATTGTGGCTGGCGTTAAACATCATTTCCGTACATCCATTATCATTTCGTACCTCTGTTTGAATTGGTTCATGTCAGGAAGAACCTTATAAAATTGTCATGAAATTTATAAATTCGGAAAAGGCATGAAGAGGCAGTGTTCCTATCGTTGCATCATACCATTTACAGTATTAACGTCTGAAGCGAAAACACTATCGAAAGATCGACATTACAAAGGAAAACCTGAAAGATTTTTTTAAATGACCTGGTTACGAAAAAATAAAAGATCCTGCAACTTATTCACTACAGGGAATTTGCAAGATGGGTTGCGAACGCACGTATGGAACAGCTAATGGTAAGTGTATTTACTTTTCATCGTTATATACAGCTTCAGCAGGGCTATTACATAAAGAAGTTCAGTACCTGAGTTTATTCAGAGGAACCAGCAGTTCTCATCAAATGCAAAGAAAAATAAGGGACGGAAGAGTCCAAACGTTGCTCTCAAGCGGTAATCCTTAACCTGAGAGTGCCCTCCCCTTACCTGGGCGTCAGTTATTTCCAAGGGGAGCGCAAGCCTTTGGAAAAATCAGGAATTTCTCTAATTATATTTTTTTCTTTTAACGAGAGCATGGTCAAATGATACATTTAATAATAATATGAATAATTCAGATTCGATTAAGAGAATAACATAGTCTTAATTTTCTTTTAAATCTGGGAGGGAATCTCATTCATAGATGAAGGTGGGCGTGGACTAAGGACAAATTTCTAGAGAGGCATGGCAGTAAAAAGGTTAAGAATCACTGCTCTAAAGCTTTCTCCCTGTGCCTTGGGTCTGTAGTGTAAGCAAAACTCAAAGACAATTTTAATATAATATCAGCATATCTTTATGATATTTGGGGGTATCCAGATGGGTCAGCCTCGAAGTGGTGCGTGGTAGTCGGAATGTATTCAGAGCGTCGAGGATCATTACATAGTCGACACCTGGAAATACGTCATTATACCCATTACACACGCCACCTATGAGCCTATGCTGATTCACTGTTGAATATGAATAATGAGAATGTAGAATGAGTTTTAGGCAGTGGTGCCCTAGGCCTTTCCTAACATCAAACACAGTCCAGTGGATTCGAACGCTCGATATTCGCATTCAAAGATGAGAGTTTTAATGATAATGACGGCTTTGCATATATATGAATATACTATATATGTGTTTAAAATGTATATATGGAATAAAATGTCATATAACTTACTACAGTGAAGGCAGTGTCACTGAGTGCACTGAACCGCACGCTGGTCGCCCTGCACGTGTACCGTGTGCGACCCTGTGCACTCAGCTGCCGCACCACCAGGTCGCCGTTACTGGAGACCTAAATACAGAATCTTAGGTCTATTATACGTAATATTTTTGAGGGGGTGGGGGGCAATACGAAATTTGGGATATATAAGGTAAAACTGAGTGTTTTACACACACTTCAGAAAGATGGGCAGAATTGAGTATTTAAATAAGTATTGAAATTACCTGGTAGTTGTCGCTGTTGGAGATGCTCTCGTCGTTAAGGAACCATTCCCGAGTGACGTTGTGGCCCTGCGAGCGGCAAGGCAACGTCACGGAGTCCCCTGCATGGCCCATGGCCGCGGGGGAGTGTTGGTAGATGCGAGGCAGAGCGTTGACGAGGGCGCCCAGGCGGCACGTGGGGCCTTCCTCTAGTGCCTCGCTTTCGTCTCCTGTTTTCATATAAGGTGATATATTTAAAAAATCCAATTTTTCATACGTGCTTGATTGTAAATACTGTTAAGATGATAAGTAAAGCAAGAACTATGACACAATCGTCGATTAACATCAAAGAGGACTTACCAACAATTACTACTGTGAAAAATCGTGAGTAGGATCTCTGGCTTTGAGGTGTCCTCACTTCCAGCTTGTATGTCGCCTGTGTTAGAATTTCGTATTAGTCAATAGCGTATTTTAAAGCATTTTTGGGATAATTCCATTCTGAATGTAAACCGACCTGGTGCTGATCTGAAACGCAGTCCAAATAGACGACGGAGGAGATTTGCAGGACGGAGGCGGAAGTGGACGCCGTCGAGGACAGCTCCTCCTCCAGACCCAGCATGTTGGTCGCCTCTTCCAGAGGCGTGGAAACCACCTCTGTCTGTCCACCCTATATAAAAGATTTACAGTACTTGTTCATTCAATTTACATATCTAAATCAATAAATTACAGAATTGATCGTGCATCTCTTCTGAAGAACGTGCTTATACTGGGTTGATGTCAACATTTGTCTAACTTCTGAATTTAGTGACGCTGTACATCTGTTCACCTCTCGGTGCAGTGGGACGTCGTCCTTGTACCACGTGAGGACAGAGCCTGTGGGGGCGACCAT